CCCCAAAACCCCAAAACCCCATCAGTAGTATTTAATAATAAAAATTAAAAAAATGGCTTAATATTGGTGAAATAGAAATGTAAAACCCCAAAACCTCATAAATTTCCAGGGATCTTTTAATCTACATACATCATATATGTTTAGACCTATTAAAATATTGGAAAGGGTGTATGTGGAGGGTTGTGACAAGTATAATTGTTAGGGATTTTTTATAAATTTAAATTGTATACAACTCAGAATATTTCCTTGACATAGTTTTCATACTGCATTTGTAAATACCAAGATTGTATTTTTAAACCAAGGAAGAGATGATTTTTCTCTCAAAATTGTTTCACTTTCTTAGTCAGCAATGAACCCTAGATCAGCCATTGTCTTTTTTACATAATCATTGTTCTAGCAATTGCAGTGACCAAACCCTGGTTGATCAATAACAGCCCAACTGAGAATAATCCCCTTTTAACAGTGGTTCTTTAGATTCCTAAGTAATACAGATTCAAACTCTTTTGGGATATGCTCTCCAACCTCCAAGCATAAAACCCATTCAAATTAAGTTTCAAGCTAGAAATCTTCTGCTAAATCAATTACCTTGCATAAGCCATTAGTAATTGCAGGTGTTTCAGGGTTTCCATCATAACCTACACAATTTAATCCATTTTTTAGCAAAGCCTCAGTGTATTTTCCTGGCCCACAGCCGAAATCAACTACTGATTGAGCTCCTTTACCTTTTAAAAAATCAACAATTGCTTGAGAAAGTTCTGAATCGTACGCATGCTCATTTTTAATTGATTCGTTACCTATCCAGAAGCCATGGTTGCTAATTCTTTCCGATTCTTCTTCTGGACCTTCTATGTTCTGACCGTAGAACCTTTCCATCTAAATTATTAGTAATTAGTACTATATTTTAAGTTATTAAAAACTTAAAAATCAAATTTGAGTCCCTGGACCAGAGAGAATAGTCGAAGTTGAGAGAATGGTAGAGAGAATAGCCTAAGCAGAGAGAAAAGTTTAAGCAGTTGAAGATTAAGTGCCCTCTAGTGTTAGAAAACATAGAAGATTAACCTGCTTAGTTATATTAGACCACCAGGAGTCTTTCTGAGTAATATAAATTTAAAAAAGACTTGCTCTGTGTGTTGGATAGTAGTTCTTGAAAAGCTATTTTTTAAATATTGCTTTATAATAATTAATTTTAAAATTTAAATCCGCGATTGAGGCAACAGTAAAGAAGAGGAAGACGACCTAGATGATCTATGATTCAGTGATGATGAGCTTATATGAGACTGAAGAGACTGAATAGACTTTTAATTAATATGAATATTATTATGGTGAAAGTATTATGGTAATTAAGTTTTGCTTTTAAATTTTTACATTCAAACATCTATTGCTATTGATGTCTTTGTTGTGGTAGTTAATAGTGCTATAGAGACATCTGCCGTTTTTTAGCAAAATTTAAGACAGATGTATCACTAAACCTTCCTATCTTGCATTCATCTCCGAATCTTCCTACTCTGTTAAAGCCTTGCATAGCATCTTTTCTGCTTTGCAAACTCTGAGCAATTATAAGTGTGATGGGTAAAGATTTTGATCATTAGTCTATATCTCTCATTCATGTTATGCTAATTGTCATCACTACAGTGTAAATCATATCTTCTCCTAAAGTGTCTAACTATCTTAGGAGTTTGTAGGCAATCTCATTGTCTATTGAGACTACATTGATCTTAGCTTCATTGAGAGCTACTAATAGTACCTCATTGCCAAACACAAGCACAGGATTAAGTTTAGCTATATCAGCGATGTAAGATATTTTAGTTTTATTGTCAGGTACATCCATCTCTGAGTCCATTGATATCTTCTCGTAAGTATCAATGGTGCCTTCATCTAAAAAGTAAGAGTTCTACTTGAAGTTCAGCTACTCTTAAACTATTGACTCCATCTTGGTCATAGCTGGATTTTCTGTTAAGCCTATACAAGCATTAGCAGAGGTAAAAGTTTTAAATTTCTCTGGATTATCAAGCCTGAAGGTTTCGGCTTCATCTATCAAAACGATCGCACTTGTTTCTGGTTCAAACTCGATACCAACATGATACTGAACTTTAGTGTCTGCATCATAGACATAGTAAAGTATATCAGCGAACTTTTACTGATCTCTTTTCATTAGATGTTTACTAATGAACTCATCATGGACTTTAGTATCTGCACTACTCATCAGGTATATCATAATGATACTGCCATTATTCTGGACTAAGATGGAGCTATCCATAGCTGTCTCGGTTAGTAATATGTGTTACCGAAACAGTACTATGCAAGAGCGAATTACTTATTTTAGGGCTTGATTTCAACTGACTCTAGTATCAGTGCAAACATTTCATCTTCACTTAGAGTGATGTCTTCTTTAATTCTTTGATATCACCTCATCTAGATTGTAGTTCATATAGGAATACCTAGATGGATTCAGCATCAGTCACATTGGACACATTAGGAGTAGATTCAATTAGCTACTTCCATTTAACTAGAGGTGTAACCTTTAAGTTGATTACTTTGTCAACTATACTGGCAACACTATCATCAGTTAAACATAGGATGACCTCTCGGAATTATTATTATGTGATCGTTTGTTGGCGAGGCTTACTGATAATGTTATTCATTATTGTAATCATCTGACCTCTCATATTAATCATTGATTATTAAACGAAAGGTATGAATGATGACGGCTCTGCTTATTGTATGACTATCGATAAAGTCATTACACTTTAATTGGTAAAACTACCATTACTTTAGTAGTGTTACATTAATTTTATCTACTACTATGTGGTATACTTCCGGCTCTTCTGTATCCACTACGAAGCATCGTTGTAGTAAACACTTGACACATATACACCAAACTTTATCATAATTACTTCAACTAGTGTAATGTCTGAATTAGATAAAGCGGATACACAACTAATTCAACAAGATATCCCAAGTGTTAAAGAATCACACACAAGACATAAAACTGAATCTATAGGCAATGAACCAATGTGTTTCAAGCAGTATGATACCATTAGTAAGAGGCTTGCAATGGAGTTTAGCAATATACTTTGCAGCACATCTTAAACTAAAAAGATGGCATATATGTGCGATTTTGAAGACTGTGATTGATACATCTTCATTGCTTGATAAGATGGCTGTTAAATGCTTAATTTGTTCATCTTCATCTTATTTTGTCTGGGACACTAAAGTGATAGCAGCTATAGATGATTGATCATCCATCTAGATGTTAGATAGAGATAAAGCGTTTGTCTATGAACTAGTTGTTGATGCCATAGTAGTAGTTATGCCATGAATGACAGAAGAGGAGATATCATTCTTGACTCTCTTAGAAGGAGCACTACCCTTTATCGCAGACCCCTTTTTCCCATACCCACCTATTTATTCTTCAGATAGCTGCTGCATGATGACATCTAAATCAGACTAAACTCCCATTTACTTTGTTTGGAGATGCTGTAACGCAGACTGAGAGAGTCCCTAGTCTTGGATCATACCTAGATCTTCAGCATCATCATTAATAATAAGAGGAGACTCATCTCTCTCTCTCTCTCTCTTATCGTATTTTTCTTTGGTACCTTCTTGCTGGCACAAACATTACAGACGACTAGATTCTTAGAGGTAATATAATCGTACCTCTTTCTCTTAGAGCAGATACTACACTTATAGAATAACTTCCCTTTGTTCTTAAGTTTTACAACTTGGTCAGATCTATATAAAAGTTAAGAATCAAATAGGCGAAATGCTGCAGTCCACCAGTCAAATACTGCAGTGTGTATTTACTTACCTTTTAAACAATAAAGACACACTCTCCAACACATTTAGAATATTTAGATTCATCAGGAGTTTCATTTTACTTGTGTACTCCTTTTAAATGACGAACCCATCTCCCGCCATCACTTTCCTTCCAGTCACAGTTCCCATAGTTGCAATGTTTGGAAACCCTGGATGTAGACACAGTAAATAAACCCGACTTCTTTGATTTAGTAGATTTCTTTTCTACTATCTCGAGGCTATCCTCCTTCTTTATCTCTTCGCTTTCTTCTGGTTTGAAGACATTTTGATTAGCCTGTATTCAAAATAAAGAGGGAAAATACTTACTATCAATTTTATATGCGCTTGACGCATAAAATTGCTTGAGAGAACGAACAGCGAGATCAGAGCCATCTATTATCAATGACTCAAGCGTCTTAGGAGCAGCAAAAATCCCGAGCTTCCTATAGAATCCATGTAGATTCAAGCCTTAGTAATGCTGTACTACAATATACCATGCAACCAGCAGTATAGTTTATAGCATGGGTAGTTTCCGAGATGTATTACACAACATCTCCAAAAAAGATAGAGCCGATACCACTCTTGATGCGTTCATCTTTCACTTTGATGGTGGTTACCTCGAAAATAAAAATGCGGCATACCTCATAAACAAGTAAAGCTGCTGTAAATTAGAGACCTTTACCTCTTACTTCTTCTTCCTCGTGGATTAGTAAGGTATCAACTAAGTTATCCGCCTTCATTTTGAATGTGTTGATGTGGTTGAAAAACTCTCAAGCAATGTGCCTCTGGGTGGAAGAGTAGTCTTGTTTCTGGTAGGGCTCAACCACCTTGTAGTTTCTAGCACGGAAACAGTCCTATGCACCCATGATAATTCTTGTCTGTTAGAACTTGGATACATCATTTTCGTATGGCCCTAGTATTTTGAACTATTTGACCTGGTGAATTTCATTTAGGTTCCCTAACATTAAATTATAATATCTGTAAATAAATCTTTTAAAAGTGGGGTTCATACTATTAAATTTAATTTAACCTTAATTAAATATGTCAAAAGCTGAAATAATTAAGATCATTGTCTCTAATTTTTTCACAATCCCAGCTTAATTAGCTTCACCAGTTGCAGACTCATATTTAAAGCTTTTTAATACAATTTATGATTAAACATGCATTTTTTAATACTAATATCGATGATAAATTTAGAATTAATGATTTAATGAAAATCCTTGTATTAATTTTCAATGACATTTTCACCTTTATTAGCAAAAAAACTATGCCAGTGAATATTAATATCTAATGTTGATTCAGTGTCAATATTTCACTTCAATTCAAATCTTCTCCTTTGAGATATTATATATTTTCTAACACTCACCAAAAGTTCGAACTCTTTTACAATTATTTAAATTTTATTGGAATGTCCCCTACCCCCTACAGTCAGGTTTATTAATCTTAAAACTCTATAGAACCAATAATATTTCAAGTGCTCAAACAACAATTTGTATACTTTTAATGGAAAATAATGGAAATTTAAAAATAATAAAAAAATAAAAAATGTAATAAATCATATATTTGTTATTAACCTTTTTCATATTTAGCTAATCGATGCTCTTTGGGGTTTTGGGGTTTATCATACATTTCTTGAGCAAGCGGTGCTTTATTCTGATGATGTTCA